CTAAATCATAAGACAACCGACGACAAATACCCTATCCCATCCATTTCGACTATATTGTCAAATTTGGGCGAGGCTCAGTATTTTACTACGCTGGACCTCAAGTCAGGGTTTCACCAGATCGAATTGGTTGAAAGAGACAGGAAAAAGACAGCGTTCTCTGTCAACAACGGGAAGTACGAGTTTTGTAGACTCTCCTTCGGGCTAAAAAATGCCCCAAGTATTTTTCAACGAGCCATTGATGATGTGCTTCGCGAACAAATTGGTAGGATATGTTATGTTTACGTCGACGACGTAATAATTTTCTCCAAGTCCAAAGAAGACCACGTCAGAGACATTGAGTGGGTCTTGAAAAACCTTAGGGACGCAGGCATGCGGGTGTCTCAAGAAAAATCCAAGTTTTTCAAGAAAAGCGTGGAATATTTGGGATTTACAGTGTGCAGAGGCGGGATTCAGTCCTCGCCCGATAAAATTAAGGCTATTAAGGACTTTCCCCCACCAAAAACACTATTCGCTCTTAGGTCATTTTTAGGTCTAGCACGCTACTATAGCTGCTTCATAGCGGGCTTTGCCAACATCGCAAGGCCCCTAACAGATATCTTGAAAGGCGAAAATGGCAAAGTAAGTGCCAACTACTCAAGAAAGGTGATAATCGAGTTGTCACCAGAGCAATATGAAGCCTTCGATAGGCTAAAAAACATACTGGCCTCCGAAGATGTAATGTTGTCCTACCCAAATTACAAAAAGCCTTTTGACCTCACAACAGATGCGTCTGGCTACGGACTGGGAGCGGTACTGTCTCAAGACGGCCGCCCGATAACGATGATATCGCGAACACTGCGGGGTAATGAGGTAAATTTTGCCACAAATGAGCGTGAGCTTCTCGCCATCGTATGGGCACTTAAGAACCTCAGAAATTACTTGTATGGTGTTAAGAATCTTAACATTTATACAGACCACCAGCCATTAACCTTTTCGGTATCGGACAAAAACCCGAATGCAAAAATAAAGCGTTGGAAAGCCTTTATTGATGAGCACAACGCGAACATAATTTATAAACCCGGAAAGGAGAATTTGGTAGCAGACGCCTTGTCTCGCCAAAATGTCAATGCACTAGAGGACTCAGAGGACTCGGATGTCGCCACCATTCACAGCGAAGAATCCCTCACGTATACCATTGAAGCCACAGAAAAGCCGGTGAACTGTTTCCGGAACCAAATTATTTTGGAAGAAGGAACAATTCCCCATCAGAAGACGCTTATTTTGTTTAAGACAAAAACTCGTCACATACTACATTTCTCTGACCGCAGCACATTATTGCAAAGCATTAAAGATGCAGTAAACGCTGACGTAGTCAACGCAATTCATTGCGAGCTACCCATACTGGCTTTCATCCAACACGGATTAGTCGCGGCATTCCCTTCCACCACCTTCAGATTTTGCAAGAACTTGGTAACAGATATTGTAAACCCAACGGAACAGAGGGAAATTGCGACAGCCGAACATAATCGCGCGCACAGAGCAGCGCAAGAAAATGCGAAACAAATACTTAGGGACTACTTTTTTCCAAAAACTGTAGAATCTGTACTATGAGTAAACATGATCGGCACCCAAGAAAACAGGAAATAGGGAAAACCCCGATACCGTCGTTCGCCGGAGAAATGTTGCATATAGATGTTTACTCCACTGCCGGTAAATATTTTCTAACCTGCATCGATAAGTTTTCCAAGTTTGCAGTAGTACAACCCATACGGTCTCGTGCAATTGTGGATATAAAAGCTCCACTTTTGCAACTTTTGAACATGTTCCCCAAAACAAAGGGAATTTACTGCGACAATGAGAAATCCTTGAACTCAGAAACCATTAAATCAATGCTCAACAATAACTTTGGCATCGTGATTTCAAACGCCCCACCCTTGCATAGTCTCTCTAATGGACAAGTCGAGCGGTTCCACGGCACTCTTGGGGATATAGCACGCTCTTATAAGTTGGAAACACAGGTAGAGGACACTGTCGAAAACATTCTCCTTGCAACTATAAAGTACAACAGGTCAATCCATTCGGTGACAAACGAGAGACCCATAGACATAATTCACGCAGCCTCCAAAGATAGTACAGTCCAGATCAAAGAAAAAATCGCGTCAGCTCAGCAAAAGACACTTGACCAAATGAATATAAAAAGAGTCTATAAGTCGTATCTGGTAGGCGATCGGGTTTGGATAAAAAACAATAAACGATTAGGAAATAAACTATCACCCCTATTCACAGAAGGCATAGTGGAAGCAGACCTAGGTACGACGGTTCTTATTAAAGGGAGGGTGGTCCATAAGGACAATCTTAAATAGGCTTTTAACGTTTGGAAAATCATTTTTAACTAATTACATTTTTTTAGGTTATATCTTTTCAGTTTAATAATAGCAACCATGACCTTGACCGAAGCGACATTGAGACTCAACGACTACTCCCACGCGGACTACATACCTATAGTTGACGGACACGTAACAATCTGGGACTCGTACACTTACTTGGGACACACGACGAACCTGACATCTTTCGAAACTTACATCGACGAGACATGGAAACTAATAGACAAACTACCCAAAGATCATATGAGACAGGTATTGAAAACGGACGTACAGCACATAGCCACCTTAATAACTTCCTTGACCGTTCATCACCGACAAGCACGTAGCATTAACATGATAGGCAGTGCCCTTAAGGCAATTGCAGGAACCCCAGATTTTGATGACTGGGAACAAATAAAATTCAAACAAAATCAGTTAATAGAATCCGAAAGCAGGCAGATAGAGATCAACACTAAATTCCAAACAAGACTCAATGACGTTTCAAGGGCCATCAATAACATTTTGAAACCAGATGCAGAGGTCGAACATTTTTATGCAACTATTTTGGCAAAGAATAGAATGATAATTACTAACCTTGAGGACTTAATCCTTACTGTTACACTCGCAAAAATAAATTTAATCAGCCCCCTTATACTAGACAGCATCGACATTAAAGAATTATTAAATGAACAACTCACCAATATTAGTATAACCGACCTTTTAGAGGTCTCTCATATAAAAGCTTTTCAAAATTCTGAATTATTGTACTTTCTGATCAAATATCCAAAACCTCTGTTAAGCTGTAAAAAAATAGATATTCTTCCTGTCCAGCATAATAACGTAATATTAGATCTAGAAGAGGGTAATACGGTGGCCGACTGCGGAACAAGGACCTACGCTGTACGTGACTGCGCTGCTACTGTGAGCACCACTTTCTGCAGAAGACTACAAAATACTTCATGCGCGCAGCAACTGGTATCTGGAGCCGTCGCACACTGTGCCACACGCCCCGGTCACCTGGCGCCCGTGATAGTAATCGGAGAGGGCATTGCAGTAATAAACAACGCGACCATTAATGTAGTGGACAGCACTGGACACAAACAGATAATCGCGGGAACCTTCCTCGCGACTTACGACGATTACGTCTCACTGAATGACACCCGTTACGTGAACCACCGAGGCATCCTGAAGAAGAAACCTGCTGTATCCACGTCAACCGTGGTCAACGTCACCCTTTTTAGAGAACATCTGAGCCTCCCATTCCTACATGACCTTACCATGAAGAATCTCCGCCATATCGGGGATCTTAGAACAGGATTATCTTCACGATCATATGGCGGCTTGGCACTCATCGCCCTATTCCTACTCCTCCTGGGCACCTGGAAATTGTACCAGCGCAGAATGAGAAAGAAGAAACCTAGTAGGGGAGGAGTTAACACGCGCAAGCTTAAGTTTGCTGACAACGCTGTTACGCCGGATGCCGTCGTGACAAAGTTGCAGCCGAAACCAGAGACTCGGCACGCGTAAGCTGCCGGACCGCCCGTTGCTGACGCTGACTCAACATTCAGCCGACTTTCCAGCGGCAGCGGCGGCTTCGTGGTCCGACGGAGTTGGCCCTAAATGACAGTTTTAATTTTGTTCTCCAATTGTCAAGTACAATGAATAAAAACAAATAAAGTTACTTTGCCGAGATATAACAAATAAATAAAATTAAGATCCTTTACTTAAAATAAACGGTCTTGTTAATTTACACAATCAAGTGCAAGGAGATCTTTCACTTACTAGCCCAAGATAATTTTACTGAAGTTTTGGCTCTTTAGTTGATAAGTTAGTTATAATAAGTTCGTTAGTTCTAAGTTCATCTGCTCAAGGTATTTTGTACCACTTTTTCCTTGATTTAAAATGTTGAATCAATAAATTGTAATATTAAATATAATTTAAATTTTTCAGTTGTAAATCTAATCTAATCTCTGTAAAGTACATTTAAGCTAGCTTTAAACAAAAATATTATAAAAATTTCATGATAATAAAGCAAACTCATTAATTAATTAATATCAAGTGTCACGAAGCTGACAAACTCACTTTTACTAATAAGGAAAAGCACACCATCAATACTACATACAATATAACCATTTATTCTAAACTTTACAGTTACCCACTGACCTACGAAAAAGGATTAGAGAAACATATACAAATTATATAAACATAAACATATGTATGCTAGTACAGGAATTTATAAGAGAAAGTAATTCACCATATTGTAGCCCCATTTTGGTCGTACCCAAAAAACAAAATATTTTTCCGGACAACAGAAATTTGCGTTGTAATTTACTAAAGAACTAAACGATATCACAGTTAATACCCTATACCTAATATAGGCAAACTAGGCATATACAATGTACACCATATAGAAATTGACACAGAATTAAAGGACCGCTTTTTTAAGTAACTACTTTACTAATATATACCATTACAAATTATATAAATATATATATATTAATATATTTATTTGTATATACATATATTTATATCTCTACACGTGTGGTTCCAAAATTCCTTTTTGAAGATTTGTATTTAATACTTATTTCTGAATCATTAATGTAAGCATATGTATTTTAAAAATATTATTACAAATTTTAGTTTTATATTAAGAAGTTTCAATTATCGATGAAGTTATCGATACTACCAAGAGCTTTTAAAGCTGCAATTGGAAACTTTTTCAGCATCTTCTATTTAAAGCTTAGATGTTATTCCTTCAGTCAGAAAAGCAATTTTTATGTAATTTTTTTCTATTGGTGTAGATTTGAATATATTATTTAATGAACCACCAATTAAAAAGAGTTTTAACCGAAATGCAGACACTACGTACCTGCAAATTGGCGTATATACAATGAGTGCGTAAAAAGAATAGTCTTAGTCCATCAACATTATTTATACATGTTTTGAATGTATGTATGTTTAAATATATTTAAAACAATACACCGCCATATTTATTGATTGTAAAATGTGTTGGTTTGTACTGAAATTCGAACCTTTTATCCGTATGTTTTGTGCTCAAAATAAGTGTTGTACTACTTACACATACTACATGCATATGCATATACATATCCTTATACATATTGTACATGTGCTGATTTCACTTTAATATACTTTTGTACATATCACCATATATGTACATAAACACGTCTACATACATAGTTACATTGAAAGTTTTTTGTCTGTTAAAAACATAAATATATTTATACATTACATTACATTACATTACATTATAAAGGTAATAATGAAAATTAAATTAATTAATTAATTAAATCGGTGAATATTACTGCAAACATCTGAAGGTATATTCATATACATGTACATACATATATATATACATACAAGGAATACCATTGTGAATGCATTTAATTTATAGTAAACATTGTTCATACTCGAACGAGCTGGACAATTTCTATCGGCAATCTGATAGTGTATTTTTTCAATTTACAGAAATGGGCTAAGTGTTATTACAAATTTCTCCTATAATAAGAGTTTGTCAACAAAAAAAGTTAATATTTTTCTTGAATCGAAAGCGATTCCTTTTCCTTTCCTTTCTTTTCTTTTACGAAATAAATCCGTTTGTTTTTTTTTATTTTTTCGTCACTTTTGTATAAATCAATTTCATACGGTGTACGTAAAAGGTATGTTTTGTATAATATCGAGTATACATTGTCAGATCACAATTGCATTTCTGTATAAAAAGTATTTTACAGGAAGCGTATCCGACCCTATAAAGTAAGTAAGCTCTAAACGTGGACGCGCAGCGTAAGCTAGTTTTAGAATATTGTCGCGCCCAAATTTTTAAAAAATGTTTGAATAGTTTTCTAAGTTATTAATTATCTTGCCAATTTCCATCGATATGATGAAAACATTTTTCACGTCCTTTCTTACGCACACAAACAACAAAATCCTTTTGCAAAAACACTGTCGAAATCGCTTTTAATTATATTTTTTATGCTAATTTCTATCAAAATTCCTAAAGAATCTTGGACTTTCTACTGTTTGAGTAACGGGTATCTGGTAGTCGAGGAACTCCACATTGTAGCAATCTCTCCTCTCTTTGGTTCAGCTTGGGGTTTGAACCTTTACGATTCATAAGATTATGTTTTGCGAACCGGTTCGTCTATATGTGAGTTTTCACTTCAAACTGGGATTACAAAAATAATTTCTTTAGGGTTAAAAATTTTCAAATTTATTCTCAGTCTACAAGATAACATTTACCATAGTTAGTTTTGGCTGGATTCCTATTATTATGTTTCGGAGTTAGCTTAGTGAGCTATCTGTCAACAGGACATTTTAAATTTTAGGGATGTTTGCCAGCCATCTTAAAATCGAAAAGCTTACACTAGTTTTTATTTACTACTTTATTATAAATGGAAAATGGGTTTCCATTACTTTCCCGAACAAATTTGTTTCCTATTTTGGGTCCAGCTCAATGCGTTTTCTTTCAATGTTTGCAACGCACAGCTTACACTTGAACTGTATGTACATACATATATATAAGGTGTGTTCTAAAGTACACAGGACTTTAAAAAAAAGACTGATCAAATGGTTTTATCTGCAAAATCAATTAATTTTAATCAAAATAGTCTGCTTTAATACAGCTTTTTGCACGGTTCAAAAGCATGTCGTACGAATGTTTTAGCTCGTTGCCCGGTATGGGCACCAGTATGCCGTTGCAAGCCTTTTAAATGGTCTCGTCTGCATAACGCTTTCCTTTCATCAGCAAAAGCGTTTTTCCGAAATGGTAGAAGTCGCGCGGTGCAATATCAGGTAAATACGGGTGGTTGATTGTTGACTTCTCCAAACACGATTTTTTGGGTTTTGGCTCGTCCGGCCTTCCGGACGCCTTCCATTCAGCACTGTGGCGTTTCGTTTCGGGATCATATTGAAAACACCACGTTTCGTCACCAGTCACAATTTTGTAAAGGAAATTCGGTTCTTTTTTTTTTCGCTTTTTTAATGATGTCCTTCAAATGTTGAATTTGGATCGTTAGTTATTGGTCGTCAGTCAATTTGTGCGAAACAAACCGTGCACTCACCTTTTATAAGCGCAAGTGTTCAGTCAAAATGCGATAAATCGATGTTTCAATTCTATTTCTATGAACTTCAATGATGATTTCGGCTCATTATTTTACTGTTGCCCGGCATCGTTCCATTGGTACTCCGTCGCGTAAGCCCGAAATATTTAATTCAGCTGAATCTGATTCTGCTGACTTCGCCGATTTGGCTGACTCGTTTCCATTAGTCCACTATTTCAGCAGACACTAGAATAACTCTAGAATATTCTAATCCTTTGCTTTCATAGTGTGAAGATGTTATGCACGACCATTAGGTACAAAGCAGGAGTAAGACGTAGTTGGCGAGAGTTCATTTTTATAACAAGAGAAAAAGTTTAAAATTTGTATATTAAGATGATTATAAAAACTGCTATTAGCTAGAGTCTATGAAAATTATTTAATTTTTTTTTTTTAATAAGCAGATTGATTTACAACTGAGAAACACTATCAAGAAAAAGCGTGCCACTATTATTATTATTTTTATCCAATTGATCAAGCTCATATCAAACTGAAGTATTCACAGCATGAAAATACCGGATATTGCGACGTTCCAAAAGAAAAATACAGGAAAATATTTACAATAATTTACAGTAATTATTTAAAATATTTACAAAAAAAAAAATCACAAAAATGTTTACAGCGTGCGTGTGCACACCCTATGCCTATATTCCATAAGATGTCCCGTTATATTATATTAGCTTTTTTCCAATAAAACTTAATGCGTAAATTCGCAAATATTAGTTAACGCACTAAATGCGCATGATGAGCTCATTCAGTTTAAGCTAGACAGTTGTGCATTAGGCCCACAAAAATGGGCCACATTCTTCCGTCGAAGAAAAATGCAAATTATTCGGCGCTTGGACCTATGAAAAACCAATGTTATTAAATTAAATTTGTTAAATTTTTTGTGTGATTAAAAACATAATTTGTTTTTTGCTAAAACATATTACGAACATGGCAACAATAAAAAAAGCAAAAAAATCTACATTTGGATGACGAGGTTCTGGAAAAAAAACACAAAAACTTTTAAATAATCCGAGGGTCAGTAACTGCTTATTGGCGAAAAAGGGAAATAAGAACATTTTACTCCTAAATTCACGTAAAATTAACCCGAGAGGAGGTGGCATAGCCCGTGCCCCATAAAGATGAGATCTACAGAAGTACATAACAGGACATGCATGTACATGGGAACGCGTGATTTTGTATATCCATAAGATATATTTTTATGAATTAGCGGTGCATTTATGAATATCTCACAATAAATTTAGCAAAGTCTAACTTCTGCGTGGATAAAATATGTATCAAGGTCATAATTGGATACCTAAAAGAAGTAAACACTTTTCATGTTAGCTCTTACCGAACTTAGACAGGAGGCTGTCAATGCTCTTATGTTTTAATTTTCATTTTATTCACGCATAACTTTTCAGAACCTTTTCTGTTCTTGTGTGTTATTTATGTGTACCCTTTTTCCGTTAACCGTTAGCAATGTTACCCGATTTAAAGATTGTAGATGAGATAATTTATTAGAATATTTAACGATTAGGTATTATGGATTAAGCACATCACCCATGAACGCATCTCGTAGTGGAGTATAAAGAACAACAGAGAAAACTATGAGATATACTTGATTGAATAGGTTCTTATGAAAATAAAATTTTTTTTTTTCGTGGGGAAACCCCTTAATATATAACATATAATAGAAAATCCCTTTCGTAAATAAATCCATGGGGTATGGTTCCAAGATCAAGTTGTACACATTTGATTTCTTGATTGTATGATTAAAGGGTTCACCGAAGCCATGCTCTAGGTCTGGTGATCATAGGATGGGTAGGAATAATACAATAAGAATGTGTATGCAAAACTGTTTTCGCAAACATTTATTGTAGCTGGTATAAAAAATTATTCTATACATGCCCATAACATTTATTTTTTGGCAGATTTTAAATAAACATTCAATATGTCTACTTCCGGCTTGCTGAGCCGCGATATGTAGTTGTCAAATGATTCAAACAATTCCCGAATCGAGAATTGATTTAAATCAAGTATAAAAATCATATTGACATTTGAATCTATTTTTTTTTAGACATACATTCATTATTTTAAACTGATAAGCGGAGACCTGTGGGAATGGAATGTTACGTGATTATATGTTTGAATACCTTTTTAAGTGGCCTCTACTTAATATATATATTTAATCTTGATTGTTACAAGCAATACACCAATGAAGGGCTTTAGCTATAGCTTAAAATTAACGGACATATGTGAATGATTTTGTTAAAAAAAAAAAGTATTAGTAATTAGCTTGGATTAAAAGGGTTAATTGGATACCATTTTAGAAAAAACTACCTTTAGAATTCGTTTTTATGCTACCCCTTTATTGAACAAGTTTCTTAAACTCAGCACTTGGTCAAACCGATTGAAAACCAATGTTTATTATCATTTATTTAAATTTTATAAATTTCTTTTCTTTTTTCAGGCTTTTACCACGTACAATATTAAAAAAACAGTTATATTGCACTAATATAAAAAATGGAACCAATAGAACCATTAATAGTTACACAATCTGGGAGTATATCTCCCAAGCAAGGAGTTGATTTTCAGAAAAAAAATGAGGAGACATTTTCTTCAACGTTTCGTAATAACGAAGCTTGTTGTGGCTTTTTGGATGTCGAAGGAAGTCGGTGTAAAGACGATAAATTATATCAATTAAAATGTGAAAACAACAATGTAGAGTCGTCACTTGACATTCCAATTGCAGAAAATTCTTCAAAAAATGTTTCGAGAGAACTAAACCCTCACGAGGCCGGGTTCTCGAAAGATAAACAAGTTATAAAGGAAATATCGCATGAATTAAGGATCACGGATGAAAATATTCAAAAGGCTCAGAATTTTAAAAAATCGGAGTCTGTAGAGAATTTTGAAAAATGTTCCGATAAAAATTTATATAAAAATCTAAGTGCAAGTCCTATGGAAAGAAATGCCTTTGATAAACAAGCAATGTTCATTAAATTTAATTCTCTGGAATTGTGCGCTGATAAAGTATTTAGTTTACAAGTACATGAAAACTTTTGTAATGATATCCATAAACGCGTAGTCGATTCCGAGTCGAAGAAGTCAAATAAAATAGAAAAGAGCTTGGGCTTGGATTCTGAAATCGCCGAAAGGTATCCCTGCAAAGTTTCTAATGGACCACTTCAACATAATACTGCATCAAAACCTCAAATCGTATATGAAAGTCGTCCTATTTACCCCAATGTGCCGTATAGTCCTTATAGTACTCCTTTCAGTAGTCCTCGATCTAGTCGACGGAAACCAGCTTTTCGGGAGTCTAGAAGGATATCGATAGATCAAACTGGAAGTTTTCTTCAGCTAAACCAATATAGATTAATGGAACAAATTGGACAGGTAATATAATTTTATTAAAATTAACAATTATAACAATCGTAATTATTTCGTTATTCGTTTCAACTTAAGGATAAGAAATATCCAAGAAAATACATTTTTCCCATTTCAATGTAAGACAAATCATAAATGCTTGACAATATGACACTTTAAGTTTACATCATTTTCATTTGATAGCAAACTAAAAAAACAAGAGGTAATGCTCGAGTTCCTCGGAGATTTTCTCCCTCAGGAGAATTCGACTTTTATTAGATTTTTATTGTTTTCCGCGTTTTATGCTAACGCAAACTAGTGCTGAATCTTTTAGTGGCATAACCCAGAATGAGGGAAATTGATTGGTAGCAACATTGATTTGTTATGCCACGACCGTCGAACGGCTCATCCCAACCAACAATTCAAGAACAGTTCCAAGTTATATAGAATATAATTCTTACCGAGGTATCCAAACGAATAATTGCGTTTCGGAAACAAAATTTGCAATGCAGAGCTGTTATTTTTCGGCATTTAGAGAACGTTATTTCCTATTTATGGTAAAACTCTGCCTAAAGAATAAGTATATATTGCCTTGATTAACATCAACACTCGCGTTTCTTATGTTGTTTTTGTGTGTTCGTCCATCCGCCTTATTATACGCAAATTGGTCTCTTTGTGGTATATCTATCTGCTTAAAAAAAAATTAAATAATTAGCATGGAACTTACAATCACCATAATATACAAATTTAAGCGATAGCTCTATCTAAAATTTGCTCATTTTCAAGTTATACATTATAGATCAGGACATTTAATCATATAATATATTACTATATTTAACTGATTTTATAAAATACTGAAGTATCACAGAAATCACTAGATGATTTACAAGAGCTTATTTGGCTTGATGAGCTGATTTCATGTTTACAAATTGTTAATGCTAAAAGTTGGTATTGCGCTTCTCTGATGTGAGTGTGGTTAGGAGTAGAGTTTAGTGATTTGAAGACCTTTGCATTTTCAGTACATGTCTTACATATCTTGCCAATTTCAAAAGATATACTAAACAATATTTGTACACGTCCACTCTTACGGCCAAAAAGTTTGAAATTTCTATTCCACCCTGCCTTTCGCACAGTAATGTGTTTTTGATAGACGAGGAGTTCGAGTTTAGCGTTCTCTCTTGTTTTGATGTAATGTCGGCCAATATATTCAATATAACAACTAAGAGCATATGCACTTTTACTGTACGGATCAGAGGAAATAAATATACAGAGGTGGTCAAAAGTATTTACACAACGTGCTTTTTTTTCAATTGTCAACTTTGATCGCTTATTGCTGCTGCTTTTGTACTCAGAAACGAACATAACGGTATTTGTCGTGCTTCTACATCTATACAGAAGAAAACGAAAGAAGAAGTGGAAAAAATAACTGTTCATGGGTTAAAAATAGAAGCATTGAACTGATGCTTGTCTGTTGTCAGAAGTATTTACACACAATTTTTACGCGTCAAAATTATTTACACAGTGCAAATTGAAGATTAGTCTTTGATTTGCATTGAGTAAGTGAAGTTCTAGTTGATGTTGATCGCTTAATTGGAACTTAAACTAACTGTTAACAGTTAAATTAATAGATTAAACTAAGCATTTAATTTGTAAAATGGCAAAAACAAAGGAGCTATCAGTTGAGCATCGAGCCGAGATTGTCACTAAATTTAAGGCTGGTACTTCTGCATCCAAATTAGCTGAGTTGTACAAAATATCACGTAAAACTGTGTACAATTTAGTTAAAAAAAAGGACACACTGGGAAATTTGGAAAATAAAAAGAGAACTGCCCGAAAAGTTGCATTGAACCCAAGAGACTGCAGACACATTATAGGAGTTGTACTAAGTAATTCGAAAAATTTAATTGGAAAACATATAGCGATAGTACACTGCGTCGCAGAATGAAGGAAGTTGACATCAACACCTATGTTGTTCGTGCAGTAGTTGATATTACCCCAAGAAACATGGAAAAACGTCTCGCATTTTTCTTGGAGTATAAAGATAAGCCTCTCGAGTTCTGGTTTGATGTTTTATGGACTGATGAAGTTGCGTTTGAGTTTCAGGGATCATTTAGCAAGCAATTTATGCATCTTCCAAAACAACTAAAGGGTAATGCCGTCCAGCCAATCAATCGGTTTGGTGGTGGCACGGTGATGTTCTGGGGCTGTTTAAGCTACTATGGATTTGGAGACATGGTACCGATAGAGGGTACACTAAATCAAACAGGATACCTCCATATCTTAAATGAGCACGCATTAACCTCAGGAAATAGACTGTTCTCCACGAATGACTGGATCTTGCAGCAGGACAATGCTCCATGTCACAAGGGCCGAGTACCAACCAAGTTCTTGAAAGACATAAATCAGGCGGTACTTCCATGGCCCTCATAAAGCCCCGATCTGAACATTATCGAAAATGTCTGGACTTATGTTAAGAGTCAGAGGACATTTGAAAGAGATCGCCAGTGCGATGAAACTATAGCCGATATTACGGAAATTTGGTCAAAATTACCTCTTGAGTTTGCGCACAACTTGGTCCGGAGTAACTAGATATTGGCTTAACATAATCACATATTAAAATAATATAAAATATTTCGTTTAAATTCAATAAAAAACGCAAAAATCAATTAAAAAAACTGTGTGTAAATAATTTTGACGCGTAAGAATTGTGTGTAAATACTTCTGACAACAGACAAGCATCAGTTCAATGCTTCTATTTTTAGCCCATGAACAGTTATTTTTTCCACTTCTTCTTTCGTTTTCTTCTGTATAGATGTAGAAGCACGACAAATACGGTTATGTTCGTTTCTGAGTACAAAAGCAGCAGCAATAAGCGATCAAAGTTGACAATTGAAAAAAAAGCACGTTGTGTAATTACTTTTGACCACCTCTGTATATGTAGCTGCTGATATATATAATATATAACTGATCCTATTAGATCCTATAAATACTCTACCAGATTGTTTTTGTCTCCTATCCTAACAATGTTATTAACGATTGTTTACCTAATATTTCTGTTTAATTTTCCTGACAACTTCAGTACCAACCTACAACATATTTTTCCTGAAAGTACTGGAAAACCAAAAGTTTAGGACTTCTTCATTTATAATGAAGAAAAAAATCAGGCGTAAGCTGTGCGTTTTTAAAATGACTTGCAAACCTGCCTGAAATTGAAAATGTATTGAAATAATCCTTTTCCTGAAAGTAATGGCAACGCAGAACGTTCATGACTTTGTAATTTATAATGAAGTAATAATAATAAATAAAAACAAGTGCAAGCTTTTCGATTTTGCTGGCAAACATACCTTTAAATTTAAAACGACATATTGAAAGATAGCTAAAGAAAATTAAAAGAAAAACAGATAGAATGGGTTAATAAGCTATTTTATTAGCTATTAGCGATTAGCCGTTTCGAACGAATAGATTTATTTGGATTGTTAGAGCGATATTGAGCATCGATGCACGCATATGCATGGGTTACGAAAGTGAGTGATGAGCTTCTTCATTGTAGAGATAGAGAGAGGCGAGCCTAGATAACGAGAGATAATCGCAAAGCGGCGGTGACGTAGAGATAAATTGTGTCTCCAATGTTGACAATAAACATAAATTTTGTAACTGTTGGAGTCCCGACAAGACTGTCTGCGAGACCCGACAAACAGAGGACAAAAAAGATATTTTCCTAAAAAATGGTTTAAGTTCTCGTTCGCACTACTACTGGGCGATTCACAGGTATCTGGAATTCGACTATAGCATTCTCTCTTGTTTTGAACTTAATTGAACCATAGTTTGAACATAGCATTTGTAATATCAATTTAGTGTATTGTTGTTGTGATGCTTCAAATGAAAAGTAGTTTTGTAACTGCATCGAAATACGTATAACAATTTTTTTCCACCTTCTATTGTATATAAATTTGTTCTGCTTTATTTTGTGAAATGCATTTGACGAACCGATCGATGCGTTTCCCACTTTCATAACTGACCCAAGCTGTTGCACCACATTAAACTCTGTAGAAAACAGGTGGAATTGAAAGAAAAACATTCTTATCTTTTCTACTAGTTCTGTTTTTCTTTCACTTTATGAGATTGTTTGACGGTTTTAAAATCAATTCTGAATTTAAACAAAAGAAAAAGTGTATCCTGCATTAATGTTAATTTTCTTTTGTTTTTTATTGTTACATCCGATGTTAGTCTGATTATTAGGTTAGCAAGGGTTAATAAATATCCGGTGGGTTGTTGGAGGATAGCTAGGAAAAAATTTACATCACCCTCTTGGATGTTGTGCAGTTGTCCATTCCCATTCCTTCGGAACTGAAGTGAAATATTTGTTGTTCGATTGTCTGAAGTTAATTAAGCTGTAAGATTGTCCAGAGTTATTGGATGTCCTTGTTATTCTAGACTGACTATTATTACATAATTATTTTTATTATTATCTTACTTTGTATCGCGGTTTTGTTGACCTAAATCTTTTTAGAATTCGAATTCTGGTCGCCGTTGTATATATACTCTGTATAGTAGTATGTATGGTCTTGTCGTATAACCAGTAAGCACATCCAGTACCCCCCGTGAAGCATTGCTTCGCAAGGAAATGATGGTTCCGATCACCCGCGTTCTCTCATACTTCTCTCAGCTCTCCTAAGTTCGGTCATTACTGCGGCAAAGAACTTAGCTGCTTGCCACTACCTATGAGCACTCATTTGACTAATGCGCTTCAGGAGGCTGCGAAAGGAGTAATGCCCGCTGATCAGCTGCGCCAGGTGGAAACTTACTTCGCCGTGCTTCCGCTCAATCCACTTCTTGAGACTGGGGATTAGGTTATGGATCCAGCGGCCCTTAACGCCGTTGTTCCACGTGTGTTGCCAGGACTCCAGGGTGCGCTGCCTGGCTTCTGCCCGTATTGCCCGTTTGGCGCTGAGGGAGAGACCGCTTCCGTGAGTTTGCTTGAAGACCAATTTGTTTTTTGCAGCCATTAGGACCAATCGCAGAGTGCCGGTGATTACTAGTGCCGCCTCGTTAAATACTGTTCTGCTGGCGATGCAATTGCATAACGCAGATGCGACGAGACCCTAAGCGTAGCTCTCCTTTTCAAGAGTTTAAGCGCACTCCGGCGCGGCGCACTGCATTGTCGCTCGGGTGACGCTCGTCAGCAGTCGTCTGCTCACCTGTTTTGGGCCTCTTGTGTTGAGCTTATGTTGAGCTTGTGTTGTGTTAGTGACGTTCAACGACCTATTGACTTCTGCTGCTTTCTTGCTCGTGTGGGCTAGATGCTCTTAGCCTGGTGTCTATTATGACGCCCGGGTACCGCCGCCGTTCTGCCAAACTGGACAGTTGCCGTTTCCACTACCTTTTTTGACCTTCTGTCTTGTTTGGTGCTCCATTGAGCTGAGCCACATTCGATGGCCATCAAATTGAGGTTGCAGATTGCAACCCCTGCCTGGCAGAGTTGCTTATGGACAACCAGATCGACTACAAAGCCCACAATATACCCACCAGAGGGAGGGTTGGCCATTTTTTGATGGCCAAGGTAGTCCAGCAAATTTGTACATTTTAAACCTCCTGCGAGGGGACGAATTTATACCTTTCGCTCAGACTCAGACCACCGGTCTTGCTGGCGCAGACGCATGGTAGATTTTTAGTACTGCTGCCCTAGAAGTTGTCGACTGATGCAGGAAAGACGGAACATTAGCGACAGCGGCACAATCGCGGCCTATGGGTGAGCAACATCTACATCCGTCGGTGGCCATGGGTTTCCCAAGGGGTTCACCAGTGGGCCGCCAGGGCCGCACTTTGTGGTGCCCCGAACTAGCGGATGGGTTGGCAATTGCTCGGTTCCGTTAAAGCGTATTATGGCTCCGTGTTGCCAAGAATTTGAACCAGCAGTCCAGAATTGTAAGTTTAAAAGCACTGTCTGTGGGGTCAAATCAGGGAGCTTTTGGCAGCTTGCATTGGGGGCATTGGCGCCCTCTATAAGCATTTTGAAACTTGGAACCTGTGGACTTTGCCATATCATAGACTAGCTGATCGCAGAAACATCTGGCATGCTCCGCGGAATTGGGGGCTAAGAAAAAGTTTTCGGTACAAAAAGAGACAATACCGTCCCGAGGGCCGCTCTACGCAGGCTGCGATTTGGCTCGCACTTTGGCTACCCCGGGTGAGTCATATAAACGGCTTCGCGCAGCCATCCAGCATTGATGCGGCAGTGGGACGATCCCAATTCAGCTCTACCTCGTCTAGTCCTAAGACCCTGTCGATTCTAATGTCTTGCTCTTAACTGCCCCGAGCGCTACTACTCCCATGATGGATTCTAATTTACGATGTTTTTGCCGTATTGTTTTGAAAGCCACAATATAAGTTGCTGATATATAGAGATATAAGATCCGCAGCATTCTACAAATTTTTTACGTGATAATTTTGTGTATATCAAGGGTATTATTAAAGGTTAACTGGCTCACAACGTAAGGCAAGACATTGGTCTGAAGTGGACTGGTCCAACATGCAATTTATCCACGTTGATACTCGTACCCAATATTTTAAGGTCTAGACCGACGGTAAGAATCTATTGATTTTCAACGAAATCGAGCTTATTATTCTTGTTTATTTTCCCTTATGGCTATGTGTAGACTAAGGCTAAAATAAAAAAAATTATGAATCATTGTTTACTTTTAGGGTTCCTACGGGCTCGTTAAATTGGCTTATTCCGAAGAAGACTCCACTCATTATGCAATGAAAATTCTTTCAAAAAAGCGCCTCCTACGACAAGCTGGTCTTATGCGGCGAGGACCTCGAAAAGCAACATCACCTCTAGATCGAGTTTACAGAGAAATAGCAGTTTTAAAAAAGCTCGATCATCCAAACGTCGTAAAGTTAGTAGAAGTGTTGGATGATCCACTTGAGGATTCATTGTATATGGTTTTTGAATTGGTAAAGCAAGGTGAAGTTCTAAGGATTCCAACAGACAATCCCTTGTCTGAAAAAAGAGCTTGGAGTATATTTCGGGAGTCTTTACTTGGATTGGAATATTGTGAGTAAATCATAGCAAATAAAAACACCTTTGCAAGAAAATATTGAAATCAAAATGATTTTACGTCATTAGGCACCAATGACCTGGTTCATTTGATATCAGAAATTTTTTAAGTGCAAATATATATATTCTTTAATAAATTACGTACCTTTTGGAAGCTTTGGAAGATGAAGTTTGGCTATTCAAATCTGTTTTCCACCTAAGCTATTGATTTATTACAAATGGGAGTTTATCCGAATTTATATATAAATAAATATAATATATTTAACATATATGTATATATAAAGTTAATGATATTTAATTTAATAAAAATATGAAAGAAAGTTAGCTTTGGCAAGCTAAATATTAAATTTACTATTGAAATAAAATTGACATAAAATATAAAATATTTAACTTTTTTTTATAAGTGTGCGCGGGATAGTTTTAAGCTGTTAGGTTTTATAAATCCTGAAATCTTGACGTTCATACGGACAGTGATTTCGATCAATATATACTTTATAAGGTCGGAAACGCTTCCTTTTACCTGTTACATACGGATCTAGTACACCCTTTTACTCTATGACTATAATAAAACCTTTTTCAAAAGTGTTGGCGTAGCGGTGTTGGGCGGCTATTGCACAGCGTAGACGTCTCTAGAATCTGCATGCTTAATCTCAACTTTCCAGCTTCTACAGTTCCAGAAATTAATGCGTTTGTACGCATAAACAGACGAACGAGAATATATAGGCTTTAGAGGTCGGAAACGCTTCCTTCTTAAAATTATGTTCTGCGACACCTCAGCTATAAAAAATGTTCTGAGCTCGCCTCTTTTTCTCTTTCTCTCTGTTGTACTTTGTTGCACTTTTGGCTAAGGTTTCTGCTGTTTGCTTTGCAATTAAAACTAGCTATTAAAAAGGCTCATTGGGGACCGCGACGTGATTTCTGAATAAACAACATATAGAAACTGTTAAATACAGTGAATATTAAAAGTAGTTCCCGTTGATTACGCAAGATTGCATATACATAATTAGTTATATTTCCGCGAGTTCAAAGGCAAGTAACGGAGGCTTCCACAAATTTTCTTTGCGCTCATCCTCCCGCTAAAACCGAAGTTCGAATTGCTGTCTTGCTGGTTAGTTACTGCTGGTTTGCTGTTGCGATGGCTGCGAAAATTCTGGAAACGTGACATGTTTAAACCGCAGGGTGACCGCATTGTAGAGTAGAACTTTTCATGTGAGAATAAATGGAGCTTATCGATGGGCTTTAAAAAAATTTTTGAAAAATTCTCTAAGATTTTGAGATTTTAAGTAAAGTAAATCTTTAGGTCGAGGGAGATAACAAAGCCCCCCTCGCAAAAGCATACTTACTCAACCGTTGCTGACGGAATTTATCCTGCCAACAGCAACGTCTACTTCGGCATAGGACAGTATCGCTCCCCCCGAATACCCTACGATCATAGATCTGGACCTCACAAACAACAGTAGAAGCTACAGCATCTACTATTATGTCTGAGGGAATCTTCGTTAGAAAACATTCTCTCACTGGAAATTTCGGATGGCATCTATGATATAACTTTTTAGTTATTACAAAACAGGTTTGGTTTTTCCAGCGCATACTCGCGCTCCGGATTGGCCACAACGGAATATATCACTGTGTGCATTATTGTCCAAATATTTCTTCAAAATCTGGTTTCGGAGAGTCAGGCCAAATGGAATGAGCATTTAACAAACTATGCCTATAACAATTTTTATTCCAACGTAAAAATCCGTGGCATCCACCTTTCTTGCAACAAATCTTAACCCTTCGACCTGTGCCTTCACATTTGCTTCTGGGCACTCAATTTATTATTGTCAGAACTTTGTCATAAACTTTCCATCGTCTTCATCACATGAGAGATTTTAGCTTAAGAAACGTTGGCTTCAAAAAACCAGTTCAGGAACTTTTCTTCTGAAAACTAGAGCATGGTCCCGCTGTCAAAGCTCAACAAGGCTGGGATATATATCATTAGTTTCGACAGAGGAATATAGGTTTTGTCTGCATGATGAAAATGAACAGCACCACCACTGAGCTTCGCGTTGTATTTAATGGATCTGCGCCGAGTAGCTGCTATTGTAGTATTGACCGGCACAATGTAATGGCGCTACAATTCAACTGTTTTAAGCGCGATATTTTTTCTGTAGGCGCTCTTCCTACCGATCTCAGCAAGTCCTCACTCTAAGTCCATGGACCGCCCTTTCTGAGTAGTCCCAAAGCTGATTGGCAACCAACAGTATTAACAGAAAATACTGGAACTTCGTGGAAGAGTCTTGTTGTCAAATCTCCGTACACTGATATTATTGCATGTCTCAAGTACGCGAATTCCTTTTCTGCTGTACAACGTATTTTTTGGATATATCCAAAAATTTTGGAATCTAATTCGACACTCTAGACTCACTGTCACTGAGCGGGACTCCTCTATTGCTACCTTTGGTTCAGCGGACTCATTTGTGGTATGACATCAAGTCCTCACAGACCAAAGAAATAATTATTCCATCCACATATTTCACTTGCCTCGCTTTCACCCTTCATTACCCAAGGACGTCTTCGTATTTCTGCTGAAGAACTTTATATTGTATATTAATGGCCAACCAATAGCAAGAGTCTTTAAGCTGCTTCCGGGTTCGCCCGAGTTACTGTACTAAGAATGGTAACAGGACTGACGAAGCGAGCATTTATTAAGATGTGTCTGCTACCTCTTAAAGATGCTGCCTATCAACAGCATCCTACGGGGGAGTAAATTTATTTATTGTTAACATGACAACTTGGGAGACACAATTTTGATCTATGGCACCCCAGCTTTGTAATTATATCGTTCGTATCCAAAACAGAGAATTGCTTATCACTTAACGCCGATTGTCGTAAAGCAGATTGTTTGACCGATGCATTCGGACTCCACAACCTGCTGCTATTTGACCATTTGAGTTCCTCCCGTGTGTTTTGAAACAAAAAGGACTGTCATAGTAAAAGAAAAGACCACTTTCTTACAGAATTCGGTTCGTATAACGACTGGTAATAGAGCATCCAAATAGGGATTTCGATATTTCATATAGGATAAAATTGATAAATCTCTTTTATTGTATTGATTGTATTCGCTAAGTATTTATACCTAGGAGTCAAGTCTTGGAAGTTAATTCTCGACTGCCAAACTTCGCCAATTACTGAAGTCGGATTACTAGCCTTACTCTTCTGCCGTTATTCGTAGAGGATAAGGCTGTACTAGATTCTTTTAAAAGAATGTATAAGGAAGAAGAAAGCGTTTCCGACCCTAAAAAGAATAAATATTCTTGATCGGGATCAACAACCGAGTCGATCTGGGCATGTCTGTCTGTCATGCGTATGAACGCTGAGATCTCAGGAACTATTAAAGCTAGAAAGTTGAGATTAAGTATGCAGATTCTAGAGACATATACGCAGCGTAAGTTCAAATATTGCCACAACTCCTCGTAGTGTAAACGGGTATAAAAATGATTGAAATTATGCAACGGATTCATTTGCCTATCGTTGTCGTTCAAATTAGCACATTAGGGAGAGCTTAAATTTGGATGTCTTATATCTTCGAAACTTCTTGTTCGTGAATTTTTAGTCCTCATTTAGTATTTAAATAATGATTTTTTGTTGTTAGAAAAAGTGATTCAACGAAAACAGTATTTTAGAGTTAGCTTTAATTATCAAACAAGAAAAAAAAAATCTTTTTAATGGTACATTTTTTTTATTAATTCTATTGTGTTTTTGAATTTCGTTTATAGTAGCTAGTTGTTATTTGAATCTACCGAATGAATATACTGTACATTTTATTTTTTTAAATCAAAGGATTGTTCATATTTGGATTATTTAAAAGATAACTTTTTCTTTATTTTTATATACGCGTACAATCTTAAAATTATTTACTTTCTGTGTTTTGTACGACCCAGTGCACCATCAAAAAATTATCCATGCCGATATAAAGCCTGGAAATTTATTATTAACCGAATTTGGACATGTAAAAATTGCGGATCTTGGCGTATGCAATGAATTCCTTGGAGAAGATGCAACAATAAGTAATGGATCAACGGCTGGAACTCCAGCATTCAGGGCTCCCGAAACTCTTATCCCTGGCCAGGTATACCGTTTCCTAGATACTTATCAACAATAAAAATTATTTTCTTCCCTCATTCAATTTTTTTAATTATGTAGAACCAATATTGTGGAAGGGCGGCAGATGTCTGGGCCTTAGGTGCAACTCTGTATTCCTTGATATTCGGAAATGTGCCGTTTTTAGCCGATTCAGTACCCTTATTGTACGAAAAAATTAAACAAGATTCTGTCAAATTTCCAGAAAACCATAAAGTAACTGAAAATTTAAAAAGTTGCATAATTCAAATGTTGGAAAAAAATGCGACGCACAGAATTACGGTTCCCCAGTTAAAGGTGCTAAACGAAGTGATTTTTTTATATAGATGTTAATATTTTTATTTTTAGACTAATAAATGGGTAACTTCTGATGGGGACTATCCCTTGCCTACCGAAGAAGAAAATTGTTGTTTGGTGCAAGTAGACGACGAAGATATGAACTCCGTCGTACGCAGCATACCTAAATTAGACACGCTTATATTAATAAAAACGATGTTAAAAAAGCATTCATTTGGCAATCCGTTTGTAAAAGGATGTTCTGGAAAATCACAAACACTTTCGGGCTGCTCGAGGATAGAAAAGTTTATCCGCGCAGGTCGATCTAATTCAGCACCTGGTTCATATCACATATCAACAGCCAGGTATATTATTTCTGATTTTAAAAAAACTTTAGTAATACGCTTTTCATTTATTTTTAGACAGCCTTCGTCAGATACTCTCCTGCCATCACTAAAGGAACATTGCTCTGCTCAATGTAATGAAGGCAGTCATAGTTTTGATTATTAGAAACCGAATTTGACACTTTCCAAAAGCTTAATACTTATATATACAAAATATTTATTTTTTAAATATTTTATTATTAGTGATTTAATTTAAGTATATATTTCCTTGTGATAAATGAATGTAGAATATTGTTATGACGTTTCTGGCAAAATAGGGAATTGGCTTTGTCTTTTTTAGACCTGTTTATATAGGTTTTCAAGACCTAACAATGAATGGCCACTTGCTATCAATTTAAATTTTTGTTTAACATTGAATTATAAAAAAATCCATGCAAAATCAGTTCAGAAAGCCTAAATAACAGTCATTGAACGCTGCGCCTCGGAAACTGTCCAGAGAACCGTGACGCTGTAACTCTTGCTGATAGACGGAGGACCTCCCTTTTCCAAATTTTGTTTTGTTTTGAAACAGGATGCGTCCATAAAAGGGAAAATATTGTTAGGATAGCAATTCGATTGATGAGACCGAAGGAAACATGCTAGGCGACGAAGTTGAAGAGGTTACCTTGGTCAAGCGCAGAAGGATTGAATAACTTGACCATACGCTAGTGGATGAGTCCAGACACAGCAGCACACTTTTTTTGGACACGGGACGTTGGATGTGCCCATCTAGCGTTATCTGTCCGTCGTCCTCACAGTATCTGGAGATGATCGGTCGATCGAGCTACCTGTGGAGTACGTCCATCGTGTGGATGTACATGTAACTGTACTTCGAAGTCGACTTCTGGAAAGAGTTAAGATTGGGTCTACTACGCAACACCCGTAAAGAAAGCAGGCGAGAATAAGGTGTTTCAAGGGGCATGGTTTGGAACCACCAGCCTAGACAAACATTTCATGGGCGATGTAGAGAAATGGTTGAAGTTGGGGGAACTCAACTGTAACGTTCTCTCTTGATTCTACCGCTGTGTATATCGACTGCCTAAAAAATTTAACTATATCATTCAGGTGAAATTTTCCCTAATTTGATTAGGCTAAATTTTAGTGTAAGGGAAAAGGATTTGGGCCGATGGAGAGGCATCCGATGCTTAGGCACCAGGTTGCTAGCGTAAGCTCGTCGTATTCGGGTCGGGATTCTTTATAAGACTCTCACCTCTCCAACATAACGAGAATAAAATTTAGAAGTGCCTGTAAAAACAGTCAGTCATCAGTCCTAACTTCCCCACAAGCTTAGTCGTCTTTTGATTGTAAAACGATCGGGCAATGTTTCGGATCATGCAATACGAACCTCTTTTGTCAAGGTTGTCCGTCAAACGTAATGTCATAATTTTTGACGTACTCCACTTTTCGCGTTAGCACCCCTTTTGAAAATGGTCATTTTATCGTTGTATTCATATTATATTTTTATTGATTAATATATTCTTGGCTTGCGTCATGTGTAATAAAAAAATTAAATTTTAGTAAACAAAATCTACATTTACATTAATTTATTTAGCGGAGAGTAACGTATTCACCACTGGGCAACGATGCACACGTCAACAAAAGCTGCTAGCTGTTCACGACTACAAACGTCGCTCTGAGGGCTTTGTTCATCAAAAACAAGGCTTATACTGATACCGCTGAAGAGTTATCTTTCTTTCTGAAAATATTAATTATTGAACATTTAATTTTTGTCGATGGAATGCATTGCCTAGAGGAGGCTAACAATAAAATATCGTCTATGCACTTTGGTTAACGATATTACGAAAATATATTGATCGTAAAAAGAAATGAAGTTGGCACGAACATATATTCTATGTTTACATAAAGATATAAACTTATCGGAACCCACTCTTATTCTGATAGATGGGATTTTGAAGTTGTCGATGAATCCTCGGGGAATTCTAGAGAAAATCGCAAGGAATTTCCGGGGGATTCCCGGGAAAATAAATGCGGGGAAAGTCCTCTGGAATGCTTTGAACTCCTTGGGATTGCCTCTAGAATTCCTCGGAAAAAACGATAATTTATATCAATTTTTTCTTGGGTTTTTTTACTCATGCAAGTGCGTGGGCCAGGGCTCTTCAGCTCTAAAGCTAACAGATCCTCATACGATGCGACTGGGAACGCCACATCCACAGCCACATCCTTCGCCTTCCCGTTCGTGGTTCGAGGTCTCCGCCAGCTGCTTCGCGTTCGCTTGCATTGCGCTTTTCAAGGCCCGAACCTGTTGGCTGAGCTTGGCCAATTGGTACATGTGGTACCTTCTCTGCGCCGGTTTCCATTACAAATTCTGCTTCTATTAAATAAATAGAAAACTTAAGTGAGAAATCTATTTGGCTGAACTGTGTGCTGGTTGTCTTCAGACATCGTCAAAAATAACTATAAAAAATGATAGTTTTATTATTGGAATAATTTCAAATCCTGAAACAAGGTAATTCGAATTCAACTTCAAAGTTAATATACAAATTAGTTTTTGATTTGTATTATAAATTATATATCTGAACAGAGTGGCGCTCTGTGCAGGTAAAGTTATATAAAATTCACATCCATTTTGTGAACATACATTTCGTATATGGGGTAATGCGCAGGGGAGAAAGACTTTTAAATTTTTTGGTAAACAGGCAATTTAAACAAATCTTTATTTATCCAATCCAATAGTATTTGGGGTACACCTGAAAATAATCGAACAGGTATTAGTTAGCTTTTCCGACCCTATAAGGAATATATAAGTTCACAACTAGCAACTAAGTAGATTTGTATAAAATGCTGATGCGCCCAAATCGAGTTCAGCGCTCCGCGTTAAGAACGGACAGCAACGGATCTCAGACACCCCTTATCCGAGGTACCGCATTGCGCTGCATAAATGCTCAGTCGGCTTGCCGACCATGAATTCAAGGCGTTTCCCCCGTTTTCCTGTATTCTGTTCTAAGCAAGCACTTTAAGAATAAAGACTAGGAACTCCGGCACTCAGCTGTTAAATACATTTGTTTTACCATTCTGGCTGAGCCAAAAGGCCAGTGATCAGCTAAGGGTGCTACGTCACGCCGTCTACCGTAATCATCACCTGGATAAAACCTGTCCTAGGGAGACCAACCGATCAAGGTACTTCCTATCTGCAGGAGCATAAGGAATTACATAAATTATATTCTTGACACAGCCGAGTCGTTTTTGACAAGTCCGTCTGTCCGTTCGCCTGCCCGTTCGTCTGTCTGCCTGTATACTAAAAATATTTTGAGCACGCGATTTCTAACGCCCACCAAAACTGTCCACCGTCACTTTTGAAAAATTTGTATTTATTATTTTCAATTTCTACCGACATTCCAGAAACAATTTTTTTTGACATAAGCGTATTTTCCATACATAGCTACCTACCTATAAATACCGTTCAGTTTACTAAATTAAATCAGATTTAGTTTTGACTACGAAGGCGAGCTCAGCTCTTTTCATTCAACACAGACTGTCGCTGAGACTAAGGATCATCATTTGCTAATTACACAGTCACCAACAAGAGGAATATATGATATTATTGGTTTCCAATAAGTCGAAAAAACGAGCTTATGCCTTATGAAGTACGTTTTCCAGGAAAATCTTTGAGAAAAGAAATAAATAAATAAATACAACGCTGTTTGCTATGTGCATTGGAGCTGATATCTAATGCTGGGGTCCGGGCGGCTTTTGAGCTTTAGTTTATCACCCGGCACATAGAAAAGAAAATAAAATGTTCCGCCAACCCTTTGAAAAAAACTACGGTCCCACAAACTACCCGGAATTGTGGTTGAGAATCTGCCAGAATCTGAACGGACTTATCAGATCCACAGACAAAATTGTTTACCTGTCAAGATACTGCCTGAAATGTCAGAAAGTCCGTATTTCCAACTTCCTGTGACTTTCGTGCAGAGTGAACAGTTTACCCCACTGCGTAGCAACAAAAGGTAACTCCGACGGACCTGTCAACAAAGCCCTTGAGCTGGAGCTCTTTGTCCTAAATCATAATATTGACATCATGTTGGATAGCGAAAGCCAAATTTGCTCTAGGTCGTACTACAAACTACATGGGTATGATATCCATTTAGCAATTCATCCTGCCGATCGGAAACGCGGTGCTTGTGCAATTTTAATTAAATACTGTCTTCAATGTTACCAGTTGCATACTCTGGAAAGTTAAAATGTTCAATGTGTCGCAGTCAAAGTCATAACCAACCTATTGTTCACCAAATTTTCAATGTTCTGCTATCGATTTCGAAAAAAAACCTGGGAAGAAAGTTCATAATCGCTGGAGATTGGAACGCTCACTATCGTCTGGGGGTCTCAAAACTCAAACGCCCTCGGAAGAGCACTCCCAAACTCCGTTCTCAATTCAAATGTCCAGATCCTTGCTAGAGGGCCCACGCATTATAATCCAAACTAATCATGCATAGCGTCGTTTTGTAGGTTATGTCAAGACCTTTCAAATTATGTATAGTATTGCCAGAAACGAGCTCTGTAGCGCTTTGTACATAGCCGCGAAATTCAAAAAGGCGGAAGGGAGATATTTGCCAAACTAATACATACAGCCAAAAACCACCAACAGCCATTGATTTTGTTGTCTATAAGGAGAAGAAGAGGATGAAACACTGGCCCTCCTAAATGCTCCTTCTTCAAAGGCATTACCGATTCAGCCAAAAGAAGTTTGCCATCATATTCAAAAGCTACATCATAGGAAAGTAGGATTCGACAGCAATGACAGAAGAATTACTAAGGCTTTGCCTAAGAAGAGAACGGTGTTCCTTTTTCTCCTATTCAACTCAATGTTACGTATTCATAATTTCCTCTCTCAATGGATGTGTGCTGTAATAAAGATGATAGCAAAACGAGGAAAACCGGAAAACCTTGTCGAGTCATATCGACATAGCAATATACGAGAGAATATTTCTTAGCAGAATAATGGGAATAAGGAGCGTACAGGATGCCATTCCCACCAGTTTGGTTTTAGGCACCATCATGGGACCCCAGAGCAAGTGGCAGATGGCTTACTTTATAAGATGAAATCACTACTCCCGACTGGCCGATTTCTCCTCCTCAAATCTTACCTCCTTAATCGAAGCTTTATGGTCAAAGTGAGAGGGGAAAAGTCAAACATCAGAAGTGTTCGTGCTGGCCTTCCTCAGGGATGTGACCTGGGTCCCGTGTTATAACTCTGTTCACTTCAGATCTGCCGTGTCTTAATGTATCGGGCACGGTTCTACATATCCTAATGTAGTCATTGAGGTCTTTTTTGCAGTCGCTTTTTAGTGAACTGAAGACAATTCTTTTTAAGTCAATATAATATTTACTGTGAGTGATGC